GAATTGTTAACGGATCGATTCAAATGTCAAAGGTACCCATCCTGCAGATGAGGTTAGTGACAGTTTGACTTGGAGGAGGTCTGAGAGGATTGTGTTGGAGGCAGAGCTGAAGTCCACTAACAGGATCCTGGCGTAGGTACTCGGGGAGTCCAGATGCTGCAGGACCTATTGGCCCTATAGGCAAACTGCGTGGGGTCCAGGAGGGGGGCTGTGAGGTTCTTGAGGTGGGGGAGAACCAGGTACTCAAAAGACTTCATGACCACAGATGTCAGAGCCACAGGTCTGTTGTCATCGAGTCCAGAGATCCTTGGCTTCTTATAACTCCATTAGGGCTGCAACAACGAATCGATAAATTCGATGAAAATCGATTACTAAAAGCGTTGGCAACGAATTGCGTCATCGATTCGTTGTGTCGCACAACTCTTCCAAAAGCGCCCCCCCCCCCCCCCCCCCCTTCCCGAATCCCGCCCGCCGTTGCGCGCAGACCAGAGCAAGTCAGATCAGCACAAGGGAGAGCCGCAGATCAGCGGGAGGGAGAGCCGCAGATCAGCGCGAGTGAGAGCCGGCAGATCAGCGCGAGGGAGAGCCGCAGATCAGCGCGAGGGAGAGCCGCAGATCAGCGCGAGGGAGAGCCGCAGATCAGCGCGAGGGAGAGCCGCAGATCAGCGCGAGGGAGAGCCGGCAGATCAGCGCGAGGGAGAGCCGCAGATCAGCGCGAGGGAGAGCCGCAGATCAGCGCGAGGGAGAGCCGCAGATCAGCGCGAGGGAGAGCCGCAGATCAGCGCGAGGGAGAGCCGGCAGATCAGCGCGAGGGAGAGCCGCAGATCAGCGCAAGGGAGAGCCGCAGATCAGCGTGAGGGAGAGCCGGTAGCGGCAGATCAGCGCGAGGGAGAGCCGGTAGCGGCAGATCAGCGCGAGGGAGAGCCGGCCCGGCAGACTTGCGCTGCTGCGAACCGGTTCCGCATTGTTGCACAGCGATCCAGGCAGCTGCTTCCAGCGCACGGTCCATTCTCAAAGTGGCGCAACCAAAAAACTATAATTAGCACACGATCGTTCTTGTCTGCACATCTTCTCTATTTTCTGTCTTATTTGTGCCTGAAGCTCGCTACTGCGGAGCTCATCACCTGTGCTGTGGTGATGTCACCTCACACAGCATCGAAAACGCGCTCTGCGCTTTTCGGTCAGGAGATCCCTTTGATCTGCTCAAAAGTAACTGATGAGGTGAAAAGGTAAGAATCCAGGCAACAGATTTTCTGGAGAATTAAGAGGAGATGCAGGAAGATGAGAGACAGACAGGACAGGAAAATAGTTCAATAAAAACAAAAAAACAATCAATCAATCAATCAATCAAAGCTTTATTTATAAAGCGCCTTCCGCAACCCTGTCAGGAAGCCCAAAGCGCTGAAAGTGAAACAAAGCGCTGAAAACAAAGTGTTGAAAAGTAAAATGTAGGTAGATTTATCACCACTACACGTTTTTACCTATAAAAAACAATAAGTTATACACATGTCATATTTATACATCTGATACAATTCAGATCACCTTCAAAACTCAGTCACACACCCAGGGCCGTTTCAAGACATTTTGGGGGCCAAGGCAAAATGCCCCCCCCCCCCCCCCCCAACAACTGGGCTCCCCAGAAGCCTCTGTGTAATTCATGCCCTCTCCAGTAGTGTTAGTTATATGGTGTTTATAAAAGCCCCTCAGACATTACTGACATGTTCTAATATTATCAGATGAAAAACTAAATTATCAGACATGCTGTCTCATCTGCTTCTTTTATAAACTTGCAAAAAGTAACAAAACCATTTGAAAGCCACTATTTGTGGATTCTCTGAAAGTTTCCATGGAGTGTGTGACTAGTTATTTTTTCATTGATCCTATCGTCTAATCTCACAGCTGAAACAAGCATCCTTAATAATCCATGCACAGGAAGCGTACCGATGCTGTAGTAAAACAAAAGGTATAATAATTTATTATTAATAAAACCTTGTTGCAGAACTAAAGCAGAAAAATTTGATTTTGCATTAAATATGCTAAATATTTATATATGAATTGTTTTAGAGCCCTTTAATTGGCAGAATCTGATATTAATTTAGTTCTTACAAAAAATGGGTCCCAACATGGTTTGTGTGGCGTTGCCATAGTGTGACGTCATAGGCACAGATCCCCTGTCCTCTTGTTTGGAAATGGAAATATGGTCACACTACATTAAACAAACTGTCCACCCGGGCTTTTGCGCTGCACAGAGAATCTTCGCTGCCTACGACTGAACGTCAGTTGAGAGTCAGTCTCATGCAGAATGACCAATGAAGAGAGGGCCTCAAGTTAAGACCCTCTCCTCATTGGTCAGTCCACACGAGGTGGGTCAAAGGTTACTCTGGGCGGGTTACGTGTTGTCAGGCATTCAAGTATTGAGTATATTTACTGCATATTACAGTAAAATATTCTGTATGTGACCACATTATGGTGATCCTCGGGTCGTGATGATGGAGCCCTTGAATATTGTTGCCCAGGGTACAACAAAGTGTTAATCTGGCCCTGGTTCCGCCGTCACATTCCCGCAGAAACTGGTTGATCACACCGGGGCCAGACTACTAGCATGTGGTTTTACAACCACAATGTCCTCCGAAGCAAAAACGCTTTTAAAAGGGAGGGAGGAGTTCTAACTGTTGCTGCAGGCGTGTTGTGTGAGAGTGCAGTTATATACTGGTTAATATATTTTTGGGTTCAGTTGCTTTCATGTGGCCTAATGTGAGTCTATTTGGGATCATTGGAATGATCAGCAGCATTTCTTGATGTGACTTTATGGCAGTTGCCCAGGGCATCATCGCAAGGAGGATGGCATTCATTTACTTTTGTTTTATTTGGTATTTTTTCAGTCATTTTTTGGAAATAGTGATCAATTTTGATTAATTCACAGCCTATGTTTAATTACATTTAAAATATATGTCAACAGATGAGATCAAACAAAACAGATGAGAATTGCCCTTAAGCTGTTTAACTTGGACCAAGCATTTTAGGTCACAGATAGATGTAGCTTAGGGTCTCTGTCTATACACCTTATAAGACAATTTAGGTGATGGCATGTTGTTTTTCTGCTATTGAACTGTTTTCTAATAATGTTGTGTTAAATAAAGTGAAGGAAGGAGAGAAATAACGTTTCCCTAGCAGTTTTTAAAAATTTCCCCATGTAATCCGATTAATCGATTAATCGTGTCGAGACCCCATCCGATTAATCGATTATCCAAATAATCGTTTGTTGCAGCCCTAAACTCCATTGCCAGGTCTGGAATGGTCTGGTTATTTTTGGACCGGTGTGTTGCTGTATGGGTCAGGAACTTTCAGGTGACCCTTTCGTTTGCAGTTTGTGCCATCACATCGGCAGGCGGGGTTAAACTAACGGTCATGTGCTATTTTCTAAGTTGTGAAACTATTCAGTATTTCTGTGCTGCAATAACTGGTCTACAGCGCAAAAGACAAAAACAAAACACTTACCACAGCCTCCACATGTGACTCCAGAGTGCAGTCGCTAAGTCCAGAAGTCTGCTTCATTGCCTCCGCTATAAATAGCATTCACCGTGTCGTAGCAACTCCGTGTATTTCTCCCATCCGGGAAAAAAAATCTGCTCCAGCTGTTTCTGTCCTTAAGTATTAACTATATTTGGCTTTACTTCCTTCATCTTGGCCCGACCTTTAGCAGACGTTCGCTCTGATCCTTCGGCTGCCATCCATGAGAAAACACTACCGATCTGTCTAGCTCCTCCTGTGGACTCTCACGAGGACGATGACAAACGTATGGAACTCTGAAGGTGACCAAAACTTGCTGCTATTTGCTGGCATAATTTCGCATTTATGTACAGCTAACGAAAATACAAACAACGGAACTAGTGTTGGGCATCATTTGATTTGGAACAATTCCGATTCCAATTCCTCGTTTCGATTCCAGTTCCTATTGATTTCCGATTCTTTAAAGACAGGACATGTTTTACATGAGCCAGCTAACCACAGGTCCTACTTGAAGTAATCTTAACATTCAATTCAATTCAATTTTATTTATAAAGCGCCAAATCATGGCAAGAGTCATCTCAAGGCACTTCACATAGTAAACATTCCAATACAGGCTGCAGCAGCATTCAGTCAGAACAGGAAGTGAAACTTAAACGTAGCTGCTGTCAGTAACAATCTAACAGATTTTAAACATTAGAACTCAACAGAAATAGTTCAGAAAGGAAATTAAAATGTTTATTATTATTATTATTATTTATTGTGGCAGAAGCTGGTGTGGTCCACCACAGAGAAGCTGCTCTAGCATGATGACTTTAATTATTCTACAGGTTATTGTTCAGCCTTCACACACACACACACACACACACACACACACACACACACACACACACACACACACACACACACACACACACACACACACACACACACACACACACACGCAAGTGTTGGTGAGCGGCTGCGTCTGACTGCTGACGCTCTGTGTGTGTTTTTATTTCTGCAGTGAGACAAACTCACCTCACACCATCCAGAGTTTGTTCTTTAAGCTTCTATTAAATCCAGGAGCAGATTGTCAGTGGAGGCGGGGATTTGGGTTTGTAGCTGGTGATCATTCCACACAGAGGCTGAGTCGCTCTCAGATATCTGCTGCTGTATATTGTCATAGTGCTGTTTAGCCATCACCACTTCTCTGCTGAACCTTCATGTAGGGTCTCTGTGGAAGTCCTTGCCCCCACATTTAAAAACTTCTCTCTTTTCTAACCACAGCTTTCCAAAGTTATGTTCTCTGATGAAAGTAAATTTTTGCATTTCCTTTGGAAATCGAACTTCCAGAGCCTGGAGGAAGAGAGGAGAGTAGCATAATCCGTGTTGCTTGAGTGTATGATGGTTTGACATGCCTTGTCATCTGCTGGTGTTGGTCCTTTGTGTTTTCATTGTGCCAGGTTTCACTGATATTGTTTCTTAATGATGATGTTGTCTTGTCTTTGCAGGCTGTACAGGAATCCGGTTTTCCCACACAGACATCAGGGTTCCAGTCTTCCCCGACTACAGGCACCCATAGTTGCTGGACCAGTGACCGGAGCAAGTTGTCCCAGGAGAGCAGTCCATGAGTGGAGCCATTTCTTACCTGCTGACCCAATATTCTGTTTGCCAGCAGTACAACTGGATCATAGTTGGTTTAAACTGCATTTGCACTAGCTCATACTTGTTTAGATGACTGTAGAACCAGGTCAGTTTATTTCCATGTTAACATTCGAGCATTGATTTCTGGTATCTTCCTGAATTCATCCATCTGATATGCCGCTATGAAATAAAACAACTGCTTGGTCCATCTAACGATCAGAAATTGTGGTTTCAATAAAAATGCTTATGTAAAGTGACAGCCTGATCTTATTTAAAAAATGTACACTATTGGAACATAATAAAAAATCTGTTGTTTCTGATGGATTAAATGATTTGAATAGTTTTCGTCGGCAGTCAGGTTCTACCTGAAAACACCTTTTGTTATGGGCAGTGCATTTACAGGTGTTCTAATGTTCTTTATTGGTGTGCGTCTGTTGTGTTACGAGTGTGAAAGCGCTCTAGGGCTTTGGAACAGACATAATGAAATGTATTGGGGGAGTGCAATGCTGTCATGTGGTGCGCTTGAACCAAAACTAACTGGACCCATTTGGAAAAAGATGGTAATGAACCAGCAGCTCAAAAGAAAAAGACTGTGTTGTGAAAGATTGCGTCTGGAGAAGAAATGGTGAATTGGAAATGTGGACGCACGTGAAGCACAGCAGTGGAGAAGAGAGCCCATTGATCTGCCATCTTTGAACTTTCCTGATATATTGTCGGTATTTGTACCTTTCTGAGGAGTAGACACCATTTAATCAGCTTCAGAATCTTTGAAGGCAAATTGTCAATACATCGTCATTCAAGCGACGGTAAGTCATCTTGAAAATTTTAAAGTAAAAAGCACTTCAAGTTTTATTTAAAAAAAACGCTGACATGGAATTGAAGAGCATTGGCGGGGTTTTTCCCCTCGAAGACATTTGTTTACTGATGCTGCAGAGATAGATTCTCACAACTTGGAGAAATCATTGTACTTATATTTTGTAGCAAAAAGCAGGCAGGTGTCTGTACCAGATCTGCTCAGGCAGCCAGATCGGCTTGAGGTCCTGCGTCTGCAAATTACGTCACAGATGATTGGCTGTATGTAAGACTTGCAGAAGTTACGATACCACGTTAGTAAAAGTTTCGTTATCACGTTTACAATGATGATTATGATTGGTCAGAACGAATTTAGTTGTAGTCTTAGCTGTTGTAGTCCTGTAGTCCAAAAATCACTTCGGAGAAAATGTTTGAAATTTCCAAAGGAAATATAAAATAAAAGCAAAAATGAACTGACCCTCAAAAGCTCTTGATTTTGATGAAATGGGGCAAAATAAAATATAAGAACTTTATTAAGAAGGCACCATTTTGAAGGGATTAATTTACATAACAACTAAAGAAATATACAGACTAATTCCACACGAGTACAAACAGATATGGCTTCACATTTAAGAACTGTGTTTTTGGCAGTCTGGTGTTGGTTTGATGTAGTTTCACATTCTCTACAAAACAATGATAATACGGTGTTTTATTTACAAATTGCAATTATAAAGAAACCATTTAGGTGTTATTGCTGTAATAGCTCAGAATAATAATAATCAAGTCAAAGAGTTATAGTATATTACAATGGCTGTTGGCAGGAAGGATCTCCAGTAGCGGTCAGTGTTGCAGCGAAACTTAAGAAGCCTCTGACTGAAGACACTCTTCCGTTGTAGCACAGTCTTGTGAAGAGAATGCTCGGGGTTGTCCATAATTTTCTTGATTCTCTGCAGAATCCTTCTTTGCATTATCTCCTCCAGCGGTTCCACAGTCATCTCCAGAACAGAACCAGCCAGTATTCTCTCCATCGTGATAATAACTGCGCACTGAGCAAAAGGGAGCGGGTGTCTCATGGTATAACCATCCCTGTGTCACTGAAGGAAATTCAGTTGAGCCACAGAGCTGCATGTGTAAACGGGACGGGACGGGAGTTGAAACTCCCGATGACTTTACCCAGATAGCAAACGGACTCCAGACTGGATCCGTCCTGGAGGTACCGTAAGCTTTGGAACGGATCAGCAAAACGGACCCGTATCGGAGTCCACTTGCTCTCCGGAAAAGATCCGGAACGGATCATGATACCGGATCCGGATCACATGCGGTGAGGAGTCTGTCCGGATCAACTCCTTTGGCACATCATCCGATCCGGGTCCGTTTTGGACCCGTGCATAAAACTCATCATCCAGTCAGGATCCGTTTTGGACCCGGGCATCACCAGATTCGCCTTTGTGTGCGCTTTCATAAAGAAAATAATCCAGCCTGTTTTTTTTTTTTAATAATTGGAATTTCTTAATGTTTAATTAGTAAATGAAAACATGCAGTAGCTGAGAGGTCTTTACAGAAAATAAGAGCTTTGGAGTAAATGATTTTAAATTATCTGTCACACCACACTTATCCTTTATGTTAAAGGAAATACACACCCAAACCATAAAAGTATTTTGATAAATTTTTATTTGTAGTAATACAAACTGTATAAAAAAACTGTTACATGTGCAAGCAAAGTATAACAATAGTAACACAAACAGTATTAAGAAATTGTGTTACCAGACTGTAATTTTTGTTAAAAAGATGAATGCTGGTCAGCGGGTTGAACTTCTTGTGTACCACTACGTCGCCTTGAGCTGTCTCGATCTGCTGCCAAGTTAAACCAGCGGATAGCATGTTTACAAATGTCGTGGTCAGTGGAAGCGCAGGAGATGGAATTTTTTCTCACAGAATCTGCAATCACAAAAGCAGATTTAAATGTTAATCATCATCCACCACCACAATTTTCTATTGCAACAGGACAATCTCCACTAATATCATCTTTCTGTAAGCAGAAAATAATTTGTCAACTAAAGCTCTCAATACTATTTCTTCTTTTATTAGACCAGCTTTAGAAGTAGCTCTACAAGTTTATATTGACGCTGTGTAGCGTTCATAAGAAGTGAAACGCTGGAAACAATACCTCAGTGTGAATAGAAAAGGTATGAACTGGCTAGTGGCAAGAGCTGTCGTAGTGGAGCACATATTGTTGACCCAGAAAAATGTGTGAACATTTTAAAATGGGTACTTATGCAGGAGCAGTGTTTTTGATGCCATCTGGTTGAAAGACTTCTTCCCATTGACACCTTTCCAGTTAATCTGCTTTCCAACATCATCATGGAAAATGTGTGCCAGGATGTTCCACGTTATACATTTTGTGTCATGGCCCCCAATAGCTGCCAGCGAGGAAATCTAAAATGGAACAAACAAAAAATAATGAAATCATACATTAAAATAAAAAAAAAACACTATAAGCCCAGGGTGGATAACCCCAGTCGTCAGGTGACATCAACCGACCCTTTCACAGAGCATAGATTGCATACAGTGCAAACAAACAAAACTCACCAACTTCTGCTTCAGCTGGGAATGTGCAGCATCTTTGAGCCAGTTCTCAAGTGTTCACTTCCTCCACTGAAGTTAATGGCAACTGGACCGGAATCTGCACCTCCATTTCCTGGGGAGTTGCATCCAGCTTGCTGGTTAAATAATTAACCTTGGCTTCTAGTTGCTCCATCTGTTTGTTTAGATGCTCCAGCAAGTCCAAAATCTGGGCTTCTGTGGCTGTTGGGAAGAATAATAGAAAATATACATCCATCAATTTTATCAGATTGGAAAACATTATGTAGCTGATAAACTTTATATTTTATATCATAATTTTTTTTAAAAGTAATTCAAACCAAAAAAAAAACTCACCAGAGCAGGGAAGGGTGCCCGAGTCAAACCTTCTCCCTCGCCAGGCAGGTGTGTGCACCTGGCTTGTAGAGAAGGTTTGTTGTTGGCATGGTGGTGGTTCGACAGCAGGAGATGGTGGTGGCGGGATAGCAGGAGCTGGTGGCTGTATAGATGTTTTGGATTGGCTTCTGGATTTCTTTCTTGGATGTTCGTCTTCACTATCATCAGAATCCCCCAAGAAATGACTATATATTGGACAGGGAAATAACACTCAGTTGTCATGGTACTATCATTTCCATAATCATTAAGTAGTTCTTTAAGTCAGTTTTTTATACTAGGTATTGTCTTCTCGGACATAGAAACTTGGATAAATGTTCCATACACAACATTTGCATGCATGCTTCATTTACAATTCACAGGAAAATACAGAAAGATGCTTACATCGCCTTTGGCTTCCTCTTGGGTCGCACGTCCTCTTCCTCCTCCTCTGTCTGCAGGTCGGAAGTGTGGCATGACAGCGACTTATTTAGTTGTTGTCTTGCCTCGAAGTACTGATCAAAAATTTGGCAAAACAAATTTTTCAGATAATTGAAAGATTGAAGTCATAATTACTATATAAAAAATATATATAATAAGTAGCTTACCACTTGATTTAAGAATTCGGGCATGTTTCCCAGTCAGGTCCCGGCTCCTCTGCGTTTTTTACTGCCCGGTTCACCCTTGCACCACACAGTGGTTTGATTCTACTCCAACTGGTCATCTCAGAACAAAGAGCAGGCAAACAGGCGCCAAAATTAACATTTTCACTCACAACCCTCAACGTCGATCCTGTTTGTGTGTGTGTGTGTGTGTGTGTGTGTGTGTGTGTGTGTGTGAAACCTCCCAGCGCCCCACCCCATATCTTATCCTTAAGGCCACCTAAAATAACCTTGATAAAATGATTAATTTGTTTTAGAGCCCTTTATGTGGAATATTTGAGAAGATTGTACACTCGTTAACACGTAGCTAGTGATGTGGAATTGTCATTCAAAGACCCCCCCTAGCTCTAAAAGTTTATCTTAGCACTTTGGTTTAATTCGAATTGTAAACTAATCTCACTTTCAGTAAAAATAATCTAGCAGACATAATTGGTGATTTTAAACAATGCCAAACCAACTTACTTTGGGATTCAAGCTCTAAAAACATAAAATTTTAAATCCTGTTTGAAAGCAAAGTCTGCCAACAGGAACCATGAAATCATCTAAAACTTACCTTAATGCCTTGGTGATAGTTCTTGGTCCACTGTAAAGGGCTGTTATTTCTGACAAAACCTGAAATGAAGAAGAAATGTTTTTTTGTATGTTGTAAGAGACCATGGTTTGATTCTACTCCAACTGGTCATCTCAGAACAAAGAGCAGACAAACAGGCGCCAAAATTAACATTTTCACTCACAACCCCCAACGTCGATCCTGTTTACTTGTGTGTGTGTGTGTGTGTGTGTGTGTGTGTGTGTGTGTGTGTGTGTGTGTGTGTGTGTGTGTGTGTGTGAAACCTTCCAGCGCCCCACCC